AGCGACCTTCGAAGACTGATGCTGGAGCAACGCTGGCCGGAGCCGGAGCGAGGTGGCGCAACTCTGTGACCTAGCTCAAAGGGGGCGTGAGGCCTGGGAGAGATCCGGGGGGCTGTTTGTGGGGGCAGTCTCAGTGGTCATCGGGGGCGGAGCTGGTGCAATGCGGGCCGGAGGCTGGAGCAAGGTGGTGCAACTCTGTAACTTAGCCTAATGAGGGCACGAGGCGTGGTAGAGATCCGGCTTTTTGGTGTAGACGGCTATGCTGGCGGGTTCAGAGATGGGACTGAATGAGTTTTCAGCTATTCCTTCATGGTTGGGAGGTGTTGGTACTTAGGGTTTGAATCTTTAGAACTTTTCATCATCCATAGAGCTTTTTAGTCCAAGCCGGGTGATGTCCCCAGTAGTTCATGATTTTGTACCTTCATAAGGGACGCTGGGCCCGGTTCCCAGCCGCGTTGCTCCCCACGAATAGATTTGGGGTATCGTCTCTCTTAAAAAAAAAAAAAAAAAAAAAAAAAAAGATTATACAATTCAATATACACTATTATACAGTTCAATAATTTAATTCATTCGGTTACGAAAACTGGGCCTGAAAAACAGAAGATCGGGCCCCCGAAATCAACAACAGATGGCAAAGCGACGTTCCCTTCACGTCGACGGAGTCGAGCGGACCGAATAGAAACCCCCTTGGTGCAAAATTGCAAATACGAGTCCCTCTAACTACCAAATTCTACAATAGCCCCTGGTTAGAAATCCCTTGGTGCAAAATTGCAAATACAAGTCCCTCTAACCTACCAAATTCTACAATAGTCCCTCCAAATACAAGTCCCTCTAACCTACCAAATTCTGCAATAGTCCCTCCCCTGTTTAGAAATCCCTCAGTGCAACCAACGGGCCTACTTAGCTCAGTTGGTAAAACGCCCCTGAACTGAACTGAACTGTTGAAATACAGACCCGAGTTCGAATCCAGATACCCTCAGATGAATAGAATAAATTTCAATAAAATCATTCTGAACTGCCTGGGGCCGGTCAGTTCCATGATGATATGATTGATATCTAAAGGCCGTTGCCCTTTCTTATTAAAAAAATAATAGTAATAATATTAATAAATACATAAATAATTAAAATGCAATAACCCATGCCATATGACTCGTGGAAAGACTGAGGGCCAACTCGGCCGCCCTCAGCCCAGGCTGAAACGGGGACAAAAAGGACCTCTCACGAGGACTCAGGGCCTGGACATGTGACAGTTGACTTTGGTCAACGGTCGTGACCCCAACAGTCAAAGTCCGAAGGTACCTAGCCCAGGCCTCTGGTCAAGCACACACACTTGTTTGTATGCAGGTACCCAGACAGCATCAGTTCCAAGGGAGAAGTCTGCAACTGTACAATCCGGGTCCTCAGCTGTGAGTCAATCTGGACGACTGTGGGGAAAGCACCCGAGGCCAGACCGCGTCGACAATTGCTACTTAAGGCTGGCCTCGAGTAAGTCAAGCATTCAGTCTTGCTATGCTGCTTGAGCGCTGGCTTGACTTCGACTACGCTGGCAAAGTGCTGGCTCGACGCTGGCTATATGCTAGCATTGTGGATGACGACAAGGACTGTGGCGATATGCTGGCGCATTCTGTATTGAGCGCCAGGCATGCTGATGTGGCGCTGCCTCTGGTCTATGTGGCGCTGCCTCTGGTCCACATTGCATGCTGATGTGGCGCTGCCCCTGGTCTATGTGGCGCTGCCTCTGGTCTACATTGCATGCAGATGTGGCACTGCCTCTGGTCCACATTGCATGCTGATGTGGCACTGCCTCTGGTCTACATTGCATGCTGATGTGGCGCTGCCTCTGGTCTATGTGGCACTGACTCTGGTCTACATTGCATGCTGATGTGGCACTGCCTCTGGTCTATGTGGCGCTGCCTCTGGTCTCCATTGCATGATGATGCGGCGCCTGCCACTAGGCTACATTGCTGACGTGGTGCATGCCACTGGTCTTCATTGATGATGTGGCGTATGCCACCTGTCTTGACTGCTGACGTGGCATTGTCCACGCTGTCTACATGAGGTGACTGGTTGCGAGGAGGAGGAAGATCGGGATCTGTGGAAGATTGGGTTCGGGTACTCACCTGAAGTTGACGTCGTCACTGAAATCTGTTATGTCTTCATGGTCTTCACGAGATAAAGTGCCACGTGGCACTATTGTGTGTGATCAGGTTACTATACTTGTTATCATCTATTAGATGTTGATGTGGAGAGGGAAGAAGCCCGGAGAAGGAGAGGGGTCTGAAGGGATTATCGTGTGTTCTTTCATCTTCTCCTCTGTCTGTTCCCCCTCCACTCTCTCCTTTAATGGTAACGAAATACTGTTTGAGATATCACCTCACGATTTGGAGACTTTGATGCTGATAATGAGACTACTAATGTTTGACGACTTCTGAGTATCTGCCAGACTGGGTTCATTACAAAAGTAAATAAATAAAATAATAAATTCCCTCTGACCGTCTGTGCAAAATTGCTAATACAAGTCCCTCCTCCGCGGCTGCACTGCAGCAGCAAATTCTGGAGTCTACAATTGCTCATTGCTTATGTTGCCCTCACACTTAACGTGCGGCTCCACGTAAGAAGAAGAAAATGGTTAGATGAACTTAGATCTGAAGAGCCCCAAGTTATGTGTAATGTGCAGCAACATCCTGACCAAGAACTTGACCCGTTGTTTTCTAACATGCACTGCAGCAACCTGGGTCTGGGACAGAGTAAAGAAGCCTACTGTTCTCCTCCCTCTTTCACGATCCCTCCCCTCACTTCCACCCTCACGATCACAACCTTTCTAATCATTATCTTTCCCCTCATCCTCTTCATAAAAGCCGCTCTTTGGACCGTTTGGAAGAACAGGTGCTGTCAGGCCATTGACGATCACACGGCCGAGAACGAAGTTGCAACTCTGATGGTCTTCATGTGGTCTTACGTTGTCAACTAAATACAGACTTAGGTCTTTGAGAAAAACAGTGTATCGGTTGGGCAAGAATCTCAAGTGCCCAGAAACGGGTACAATGTTCTATAAACCTAGCAATTATCATCGATCGATCGTCGTGATGTGATACAAAAAGCAAAGCATGCAATGATTACGATTGCACATGCCAAAGTACACAAGTACAGCAGGTACAGAAAAAATTGATTGCGAAAATGTCGGGGAGGGGGGGGGGGGGGG